AAACTTTGAGAAAGCTCCCACCTGATCCTTCAAGAATGACAAAATGAAGAGGCCTCCGCCAAGCAGAAAACTTTGTGTCTGTGAACTTCTTGTTGCTTGGCAACATTGACCAGTATCATCCTAACTTTCAGTGGTCATTTTTTTTTAAGTTTTATTTAAATTTCAGTTAGTTAACATACAGTGTAATATGAGTTTCAGGTGTAGAATATAGTGATTCATCACTTCCGTACAGCACCCAGTGCTCATCACAGCAAGTGCCCTCCTAATCCCCATCGCCTGTTTCGTGCATCCCCCATCCACCTCCCCTCTGGTAACCATCAGTTTGTTCTCTAGAGTTAAGAGTCTGATTCTTGGTTTCTCTCTCTCTCTCCCCTTTCCTCATTGTTTTGTTTCTTAAATTCCACATATGCGTGAAATCATATGGTATTTGTCTTTCTCTGTCAGTGGTCATTTCTTAGCCTGGATTTTGCAGAATACAGTCAGAGTTGAAATATCCCAGTATCAGATACCTTGCTCAGTCATTCTTGGAATTTTCCGCATTTAACGAAGACTGCACACAAAATAGTCTCGGTAGAATGAGGAAGAAGCTTATTATAATTATAAGAACAGTTTGGTGGCAAGGTAGGGGCTGAAGTTCGATCAGTTAGTTGCTAAGTTACTGATAGGTGAAGAAGTAGAATCACTTTGTGTGGAAAAGACTGAGGAAAAGAAAAAATACAAGGGGAAACCAGGAGAGAGCTTTAAAGTTGGGGGGATTTTCCTCATCTGACCAAAATGAGAATATGCTCGAGTCCTTTAGTGAGAGAGCTTAAAAACACAGTTTCGGGGGAGAGTGAATGAGACTCTGACAGTAAGGAGTAACCGACTCTGAGAGAATGAGAAGGGGAAATGGGGAACCAGAACACATCTGAACTCAATGGTCTTTTAAAGTGGGAGGAAGAGAGAAGCTAGAAACAGAGGCAGGTTTTTCGATGGTGATGGAAAGGTATGGGAGTTCCCTTTTGGGGATTTCTGTTTTTGAAAAAAGAAATGTAAAGGTCCATGCCTCTTATACTAACCACATATATAGGATGAGGACTTAATGCCCCCTTCACATTCTCTCTCTCTCTCTCTCTTACACGCATACACACAAACAATCACACTCAGGGCACAGTCACATGTACATTCACACATACTCAAGAAGAGGGGGAAAGGACTAGTTTATTTTGTGAGGAACTCAAATAGCAACAACCATAACGAGAATAACTCTATGTTGGGACTGAATTCCGTTCCTTATAGTTCATGCATAAGACTCAGTTAAAATAAAGTTTTTGCCTAAAATTAATTGTAAACAGGGCTTTAAAATTCAACCAAAGGAATCAGGTTGATTATTTACTTCCTGTTCCGAGATACGACTAGAAGAGGATGAGCTGTATAGCTAATGTGGAAAGTAAAACTTTTCTGGGGTTTTTTTTTTTTTTCATTCTTCGAAATGATGTGCAAATCAGAACCAACTGAATTAAGCAGGCGATGCATAGCACTTGAATACAATGATTAATGGTACCTACATAGTAATTTATGGGAAAATGCTATTGAGCTCAGATATTATCCTGACCATTTTTACCACACACTATAGTTCAATGTGTGTGTAAGATATCACCTTTTTTTAAAATAAAAAACAAATTTACATTATCTATTTTTTTTCCACATTATCAATCTCAGGAGATAGACTCTTTTGACCATTTCCAGTACAAAGCAGTAAGCCTCACCTTGCTTGTGCCTGTATGATAATGTTTCTTTACAGTATCATGTTTTATGGGATCCTAGTGGAAAGGAGAAAAAGGATTAAAAGTGTTTAAAATTAAGAAATTCACGAGCTATTAGTATAGGATCATCATTCTTATTTTTAGTCTGCCCAATTCAAAACCCCAGGACTATATAAATAAACGTGTGGACGTGTTTTGCATTATAAAAAACCTCAGTGGAAGTATAGAATTAAAAATAAACTGCAAGTAGTTTATGCACTGTTGCCTGTATCTGTGCTGATTTTTAAAAGCCCTTACTGGTGTTTCATATTTGCTTTATGCCCTTTAAAGGACTCGGATTCGTCATATACAAAGAAGTTTATGTGATATATAGAGCAGAGCCATAAACCATATTTTATGCATAACAGTGATTAAATGCACGCTTGATATATTTCACTAAGATGGAAACCATGTCGAAAGGCTTACATTTTGATAACTTTCCTTTTGGGGGGCATTTCTAAATTATTTGAGTTGAAGAATAAAATGACTTGTTTGTGAATTCACATGCTCTTTTTAATCATCTTTACGTAATGCTGATACGGCAAAGACGCTAAATTACAGGCAGCAGTGGGAATCTACTGTATAAAAGGCACAGAATCATTTTGTATATGAGCCCACGAGGAATATTCTGTTCAAGGAGAGGAGACATAAGAAAATTACCTAACTCATGAACCACACATTAAGAGCGTAGTCAGCTGTTGTAAATGCGTATCCAACAACAAACCATTATGTGTCTTTGGCTTAATTATATGCGCTTATTACACACCTGTACTGGGGAGTGGAGGCTGCTATTTGCATTACTTGTGGTTTTCTCTATCAAAACAACGTTAGCATTACGAAGCTTATCAGGGTTACATATGAGTTGTCTGGCTTGAGTTTGCAGTCCTTTTATTTTGTGCACAACCCAAAGAAGATGAGAACAAATTAGGAAATATTTTAATCATGTTAGCAAAGAATCTCTAAATTTAGAGATGGAGTGAATTTATAGACATGGACAGACATCAGCAAAATTACTAAGCTTTTGTAAATCAACCTGACATTTAGAAAGAGAGTAAAAAAGTTAGATAAATTCAGCATTTAGTTTTTTTCCCTAGAGTTCCATCTTAAAGGGTATTAATTATTATGATGATGTTAGTGTTATTTACTAGTACCTCAAAATAGGGGAAAATGTTAAACCACCAAATAATTTATGATTTACAGTTTTTACAAGTCACCTTAAATAAACAATCTAGGCAAAATTGTTCTGTATGTTTAAGAGCCTCTCCTAACCAAATGGAGGTATTAAAACATTTATTGTGTGGAAAGTATAAGTAGAAATATATATGTATCAAAAACAGCCTTAAAAGATCCTAAGTGGCTCTAAAACGAAGAATTTTATGGAGTTCATTTATATATATCATCAAAACTTGTTACTTTTACAAATCAGATTCCCCTGCTGATTTTGAGGTGTGCTTATTTTAAAAGCATCAAAGTCATTAACCCAACCTTGAATTTCACCACCGTCTATCCTTGAATTAATCTTTCCGTGCCTTTCCTTTACTCCTATTTTCCTTCCTTTCTAAAGAGGAAAAAGTAAGGTTCCACTAAAGAGGATAACACATGTCCAGATGAACATAATCCTGTTACTGTAATTAAAATAAAACCATTTTGGAGGAATAAGCAACAAATGGTGCCCAATGCCCAGAGAAAATTAAAATTCTATTTGGAATTCCCGTGGGGTCTAGTATCAATCCCATAGTTGAAGTTTGATGGTTTCTTGGGAAGACAACAGCTTAGTAAAATAAGGGGTTTGGATCCATGAAAAATATGGTAATCATAGCAAAAGGAGAAATACTAAATAATGTTATTGATTTATAGTAGGCACAAGAAAGGAGCAGATGGTTGTTTGGGAAAAAAAAAAACAGTCATTTTAGTAGATGCCTCTTAATATGAAACATGAATTGTATTTCTTATAACTACAGAAAATCTACAAATAAGTCTCTAGAAATACCAACAAATTTCTAGAAATAGAAGTAATCCTCTGGTAATTCTTTTTCTTAGAATAAAGTGTAGGGTTACATTGAAAGGCAAGCAAAATTTTCCAGCTCTTAATCGTATTTTATTTTATTTTTTTTTAAAGATTTTATTTATTTGACAGAGAAAGACAGTGAGAGAGGGAACACAAGCAGGGGGAGTGGGAGAGGAAGAAGCAGGCTTTCCGCGGAGCAGGGAGCCCAATGCGGGGCTCGATGCGGGGCTCGATGCGGGGCTCGATCCCAGGACCCTGGGATTATGACCTGAGCCAAAGGCAGACGCTTAACGACTGAGCCACCCAGGCGCCCCTCTTAATTGTATTTTAAAGATTCTGTGGCCCCTTCTTTCACAAGAGCAGACAATAAAATAAATACAATCACTCTTTTGTATTACACTGTAAGTTATAAACTAATTTGGCTTTATTTTATTAATATTTAGAGAGAGATTATTTTTCAACTCATTTTTTTGAAAAATGCTTTTCAACAATTATCGCAACATTTTTCTTAGGGATTGCTTTCAGAATGAAACCATCTGACATGACTAGAACAATGAGGTAATTTTTTAGAATTTAGATTACCTCCACAATGTCTACTACATATTTTTGCAACTCAGCAAATTATTTCATTTCTCTCTCCCTAGTATGGAAATTTAATCTAGGTATTTATTTCATTTTCAGTAACCTATTTGAAGAAAGACTACCCTTCAGTATACAGTATTACATTATGCATTCACAACTGATACTATAAATTATGCAATCTAACAAAAAAATTATTAATGGTTTATGGGAGGTGGGGGGGGTGGCAACCATGAAATCTCAACTGCTAGCAATAGAAAGTAATTTTCCCTGTTGCCCATCAGAAAGGAAAAGGAGACCAAAGAGTGTATTTAAACAGCTCCATGGCACTTACTCTTTCGCACATGTCACTGTTTATAAAGACAAACAACAGTAAGACCCCAAAACAAACGAAGCCTAAAGCTTAGGCCACCTTTCTTTTTTTTTTTTCTTTCTTGCTTGATTGCTTGCTTTCTTGCTTTCCTTCCTTCTTCCTTCCTTCCTTCCTTCCTTCCTTCCTTCCTTCCTTCCTTCCTTCCTTCTTTCCTTCCTTCCTTCCTTCCTTCCTCCCTCCCTCCCTCCCTTCCTCTTTTAACTCACTGGAAATTTTTTCTTTTTTTTTTTTTAAGTTTTTATCTAAATTCCAGTTTCAAAATACGCAATGCTTCATAAATTTGCGTTGTCATTCGTGCGTGGGGCCCATGCTAATCTCTGTATCGGTCCAATTTTAGTGCACGTACTGCCAGAGCGAGCTCAGGCCAGCTTTAAACATCAGTAAACAGGTACTTTTCAACTGCAGCTTGGCACTTCAATCCTCTTCTACGGAGGTCCATTTTAACATGCACTTTGTGACAGCCTCGTAAAGGGAATTGTCAGCTTATTGTATGACGTTGATGACAGAATTTGCCAGCTCTTTTCTTCTGCAATTGTTACTAGTGCCCCCCCCCAAATGGGGTATTTTATAATGATTAAAATTATTGAATGTAGGTTGTAACGACGTTTTGGCCTGTTTAATATCACCTGAATTAGAGAAGAAATCCTGCGACCCTGGCGGGGGAATCTTTCGGCAGGTCTGTGTTGCAGAAAGGGATTCCTCCGCTCCACATGGGCATAGAGCAAGTGAGCACCCTGGCCAGGATCATTCAGAGACATCCCGGCTCAACCTAGAGGGAGGAAACCTTGAACTTGTTGAGCTCCACCCATCCCTGGAGTCGAGTGGTTTCTCTTTCCCCAGCAGCACTTTTCAAAACCAGGAGGATCCGTTCGAAGAGCTGATGAAGTTTTTGCAGAAATGGTTCAACAGAATGAGGTCCGCTGCGGTGGACATGGGGCCTGGACTGGGTAGAAAAAGTGGGGAGTGTGTGAGCGATCACAGGATCGAGGCCAGAGAAGTAAAGCCATTAACTTTATAACACAGGTCCTCTCTCTCCTTATCTCACATTCCCCCGTGATGATGGTATCATCATACAGCATTTCCTCTCAAACAGTATAAATCTGGGGGCAGATGTGGTTCAATTTGCAGAACTGTTTTACAGTTCCAAAAGCATCTTATATAAAAATTACAGAGAAATGAGTTATATATAGGAATTCAGTATGGATTAGGAGAAATCTTACAATATTTGCTTGGATTGGTGCTCCCAGCAATTATACTAAATCTCAAAATCTCAGAAAAACCAGACTTTATATTAAAACATTCCGCCCAGGGGCGCCTGGGTGGCTCAGGCGTTAAGTGTCTGCCTTCGGCTCAGGTCATGAACTCAGGGTCCTGGGATCGAGCCCCACATCGGGCTCCCTGCTCGGGGGGAAGCCTGCTTCTCTCTCTCCCACTCCACCTGCTTGTGTTCCCTCTCTCACTGTGTCTCTCTCTGTCAAATAAATAAATAAAATCTTTAAAAATAAATAAATAAATTCCACCCAAAAAGATGAGCCTTTTCATACCCTATTATTCAAAGACAGCATCCTAACTCTATTAAAAGTGTAGAGTAATACATTTGTTTTTGCCTTATTTTTATGTGCACCGCTTAGCATTCTTAACGCTAAGAATGAAAATTCACTCACTACAGGATATTCTTATCTGCATTTTTCATCCTTAAATTAACACATTGATTCATCCATAAGTTAATACATGAAGATACTATTCTTAGGACTCCTGAATCTGTTCTCGGCCCTTTTCTTTTCCAGATTTTATTTGCTGTTGGCCTACGGTCTCTTCACAGTTGCTAAAGGAGGGGATTCCTTTTGTTTTGTTCTGAGTATTCAGTAATTTTGGTATAGGGTAGAGAATTGCAGGTAGAATCCTTGGATTATTAATGAAAATAAAACTGCTTTGCAATTTTAATTTTCCCATATGCTGCTAGTAATGAGTGAAATAACTTATTACCCACTGGGTTATATAATCAGTCTAGTAGGTTGAATTGTGTCCCCCCAAAAAGATATGTTCAAGTCCTAATCCCAGGTATCTGGGAATGTGACCTTATTTATAAAGAGGGTCTTTAGAGATCTAATCCAATTAAGATGGTGTCCTACTGGATTGGGGTAGGCCCTGAAGCCAATGACTGGTGTTGTTTTTATTTTTTCTAAAGATGTATTTATTTATTTGAGAGAGAAAGTGTGTGTGCTAGCGAGCCTGGGAGAAGGAGCAGAGGGAGAGAGAAACCCAAGTAGACTCCATGCTGAGTGTGGAGCCTGACTCAGGGCTCGATCGCACGACCCTGAGATCATGACCCGAGCCAAAACCAAGAGTCGGATGCTTAACTAACTGCACCATCCTGGCACCCCTGACTAGTGTTTCACAAGAGAAAAAGCAGCAGGTTTGGGTAGGAGACACAGAGGGCCACACACAGGGAGGAAGACTGTGTAACAATGGAGGCAGAGGTTGGGGTGAGGCACTGACAAGCCAAGGAATGCCAGTGATTGCTGGTAACCACCAGAAGCAAGGAAAAAGACATGGAATGGATTTTCCCCTCAGAAATTCCACAAGGAACCAATCCTGTCAACACCTTGATGTTAGACTTCGGGCTCTTGAACTGTAAGAGAATACATTGCTTTTGTTTTAAGCCACCCAGCTTGTGATCACATGTTATGGCAGCCCTAGGAAATGGATACACGCAGAATATGCAAATTTGTCAGGTAAGCACAGTTTAGAGCCTTTTTTTTTTTTTTAAAGGTTTTATTTATTTATTAGAGAGAGAGATTGAGAGACGAGTCGGAGGAGGGGCAAAGGGAGAAGCAGACTCCCCACTGAGCAGGGAGCCCGATGCGGGACTCAATCGCAGGACCCTGGAATCACGACCTGAGCTGAAGGCAGACGCTTAACCAACTGAGCCACCCGGGTGCCCCACAGCTCAGATTCTTTTCTGGCAAAAGAGGAGTCAGAATGAGCCAGGACTTCCCCTGCCTCCAGAAGCATAAGTGAGAAACCCCCACTAAGGTACCTGGAGAATTCTTTTTTGATTATTAGATATCTGAAGACAGTGACTTACTTTTCCTCATAGTATACTTTTAATTCTCATCATTACCTAAAGTTACTAATAACTTGAAATAATTATGTTAAAAGCTGGAAGTCAGAATTGTTTGTTGTAGAATTCGGGGTTTCACAGGAAAACACTCAACACACAAGGGAGGTTGTAACTTTTCCATTTTCAGGTGCTTCCAGACTAATTTCTATTGTAAATAGGAATTGGTTTTTCTATTAAAAATGAACATGTCACTCATGCATTCATACGGGTGTGTTAGAAATGTTAAAGGTACATACACTCAGGAATAAATCTGGTGGTATACAAAAACATTAATAGAATTGGGAGTTTGCAATTTTCTACTTTTTGGTTCTATGAACTTCCTACTTTTTCTACAATGTGTATGAATTGCTTATACAATAAAAAAAATTAATAAGGAGTTTGCTTAGTGCAGAGCATTAAATTTACATTTTTCTTAGGTCACATGTTTCCCTGACTTTGTGCCAGGAGAATTAAGGCAATGGACCTCTAGTCTTGCCTTGAAATTTTTTTTCCTACATGCACACACACACACACACACACACACCCAACTAATAGAGGAGTGTTAGCTTTATCAGCAATGAGATGTAAAGGAGACATAAATCATGGATGTATCTGACATTTAACCAATTTAGATTCCTTTCACACCACTTTCAATTTCAAGTGTGTCCTTTGGCTTTCCATTTAGAGAAAACAACCCCATCTGCTGATCAGAGAACATCTAACCAAGGCTGCCCCATCCCCACAACTCTTGGAAGCCTACTTGGCCACAACAGAGTAAAATATGACTATGCTGTGCGCAACTCAAGGAGCCTCATGTGGCAGCCCTGAGACTAACCCTGTTTTCTGGAAACACTCAGCATTTTATGGAGTCTTCAGGATTAAAAAATTTCAGAATGCCCTCTTTCATGGCATTGCCAGTTTTTAAAAGCTGGTAATATTTCTAGGCTTCCCACTAATTTAAGGGCAAACAATATAATTAAAATAGCCCACAAGGCCCTACATGATCCAGACCTACCTTGTCAGGTGCTCCCTTCCTCTCCACAGTCCAAGCCTCTCCACACTCCCTTACTCTCCACACTCCACCTCTCCTGCCACAAACTGTTTGCATATACTGTTCCCTCTGCCTGGAATTCTCTTCCTCCCTACCTCTTTACCTAAATAATCCAACTCCTACCTCAGATTTCATCTGGGTTTTTGTTTCTTCAGAGTAACCTCCCTTTCCCTTCCAGACTATGTCAGCCACACACGACATAATATTCCTCTCCTTCGTAGCACTAACCAAGGATGAAATTTTCTAATAATTAGTATGACTATTTATTTTTTTAAAGATTTTATTTATTTGAGAGACAGAGAGCACAGAGGGAGAAGCAGACCCCCTGCTGAGCAGAGAGCCCGATGCAGGACTCAATCCCAGGACCCTGAGATCACGACCTGAGTCAAAGACAGAAGCTTAACCGACTGAGCCACCCAGGTGTCCCTCACCTCTCTTTTTATTCCAAGGCAGGAATAAAGGCTGTGGTGACAGCCAAACACAATATTCTTATGCCTCACTTGGAACACAGATGGGCAAGTGTCTGCCTATTCTTTTATAGAAATACAAAAAGAAAAATGTGAGACTTTAGGAAGAAGAGGGGCTCTTACCAGGCTGTTTAATGGTGTTACACATTCTCTCTTCTTGCCAACAGACCAGTAAATTTCAGAAAAGAGGCCTTTAGGTACCCTGCTTGAGATGTTCACAGTCTGTTTACTACTTGCACTTCCTCAGAGAAGGAAACATCATTATACGCTGGTGTCAGGGCCTCAGGCACATGAGGGGCTTTTCTCCAAAGGTCTCCCACGAAATAGAGCCGACTAACGACTTTCAGCGCCATTGCTCCTTTTCAGTGCTGTGCTCATTTTAATTAGACCCACTCAGTGGGTCATTATGGTCTGACTCTCTGAAGGCCACTCACTGCTGCCATGTCCAAGCTGAGGAGGCCCACTGTGTCTACCCTGCCCCTCCCCCAGCAGGTCCCCACCACAGCTACTTAATTCACCTTGCCACACTTGGGATTCCAAAGAAATTAACTTTAGAAAGCAGGCTTGTGGTGGCCCTTCAGGCATTGAGTCTGGCGTGTGGAAGGGACATGACCAGGCCTTTGTTCACCTCTGGAACCTCCCTGCACACCTTGCCTACCTGTAATGCGTGGCCCTTTTTCTCGTTTTTAAACAACGTTTTGATATTTGTAAGGATCTGATTGGCTTTCTTTAATGATTCA